ATCTCAGAAGCCATGGTATGCAAGGACCAAGAGGGAAGGGATCTGGCTCAGAGGATTGAAAACTCCTGGGTCTTCTGTCTGCCTTGCCTGAGGCAGCCACAGACACTTCTGAGGGCCTCTTTCCCCTTGTGATGGTGGGGGTAGAGTCTTTGTAGTATTGACCTCAGGGAGCTGCACATGTTACTTTCTGACATTGAAGATCTCCTTCTCACCTCTGTCTCTAATCAGTGGATTACAGGGAGAAGTGGGAGAGATATAAGGGAGAAAAAATGAGGAGCCTCTGGGAGGAGGCTTTCTGGGACCCTCCTCATCAGGGACACTTCTCTGGGACCTGCCCTTGGAAGACTCAGGGATGCCTAACCCAAGTCTGGCAGCACTGCACGATAGCTCTGATTACAGAAGACACTCAGATGGCCAGAAACCACAAGCAAAGATGCTTGACGTTGCTAATCATTAGAGAAATGCAAATCGAAACTACAATGAGGTACCGCCTCTCACTGGTCAGCATGGCTATCATTAAAAAGTCTACGCACAATAAATACTGGAGAGGATGTGGAACCTACACAGGACACCTTGTATCCAGACGTGATGCTCAAGCAATTGCTCTAATCCACGGATGAGAAAGGCTTCTTTGCTGTTGCCCAACGAAGGTTATTAAGATCAGCTCCCAAAACGGGTTCAAGTGAATTTCTGCCTCCAAGTCTACACCAGTAAATTTCCTACTATGGAATGTAAATCAGTGCAGCCACTATGGAAAACAGTATGAAGGTTTCTTAAAAACCTAAAAATAGAGCTACCATATGACCCTGCAATCCCACTCCTGGGCATATATCCAGAGAAAATTTAGAAATTTTTAAGAATAATAATTTAGAAAGATACATGCACTCCAGTGTTCATTGCATCATTATTGACAATAGCCAAGACATGGAAGCAACTTAAATGTCTATTAACAGAAGGATGGAAAAGATGTGATACATACATAAAATGGAATACTGTTGTTGTTTAATCACTAAGTCATGTCTGACTCTTTTGCAACCCTGTGGACTGTAGCCCACCAGGCTCCTCTGTCCATGTGATTTCCCAGGCACGGGTAGTGAAGTGGGTTACCATTTCCTTCTCCAGGGGATCTTCCTGACCCAGGGATCAAACCCACGTCTTCTGTGTTGCAGGCAGATTCTTTACTGCTGAGCCACTGAGGACGCCCACAATGGACTATTACTCAGCCATACAAAAAAAAAAAATGCCATTTGCAGCAACATGGATAGACCTAGAGACTGTCATAGTGAATGAAGTAAGTCAGACAGAGAAGGAGAAATATAATGTGACATCCCTTATGTGTGGAATCTATAAAGATAATGCAAGTGAACTTATTTACAAAACAGAAACAGACTGACGGAATATAAACTTATGGTTACCAAAGAGAAAGGTTAGGAGGAAGGATAAATTAGGAGGTTAGGATTGACACATATCACTATATAGAAAACAGATACCAGGACCTACTGTATAGCACAGAGGAAATAAAAGATATGTCCTATTACACTAATTGTTAAGTTTTTTTTTATTAGGAAATATAATCACCTTAACTCAATGTCTAACTCCCTACTAGGCATCAGGAGACAAAAAGAAAATGCATAAGAAGTATCAGCCTTCAGGGAGTTTATGCTCTAGTTGCTTAAGTCGAGACTGTATAAAATGTTCAAATAGTATTTTGGCTGCTTTGAGGCATTGGCCATCAGCATCATAAATACACTCCACACAATTAAGAAAAACACTCCCTGCCCACTCCTGATTCATAATACCGAGAAACTGTTGAGGACAGGTGCAGTTTAGGAGTGAAGGCTAAGAATTGCTCTATAACTAGGGTAGGGAGATGTTGAATTGCCTTCAGATTAGATATGACTTCAAATAAGCCTCTCAGTCATGTCTGACTCTGCAGCCCCATGGACCTGTAGCCTGCCATGCTCCTCTGTCCATGGGATTTTCCAGGCAAGAATACTGAAGTGGGTTGCCATTTCCTCCTCCAGGGATCTTCCTGGCCCAGGGATCAAACCTACATCTCCTGCATTGCAGGTGGATTCTTTACAACTGCACCATCTGGGAAGCCCATGCTCAGCTACTTTCAACATTAACAGGACTACCAAGGGCTTATGTTTAAATGGCAACTTCCCTACAGTTTAAATGGCCAATGAAAAGTTCAGTGCAAACGAGCACAGTTTGGGACAGTATGGCATATTTTTCACATGACTCTTAAGGAAGTGCCCAAGTTTTTCTTCCTTGTGGGTAAAACTGTTGGCAACATGTGATACCATCCTCAGGCTGCGATGGCCACAAAGCATGCATGCAGAGAACCCAGAGAGTAAATGAGCCCTGTTGGAAATGTGTTTCCTTTTCTCCTTTTGCCACGGTTCTCTTTCAGCAGATTTGTAGCTCTCAAGGTAATTAAACCTCACATGGGCATTGTGTTTCTCACGTGTGAAAAGTTAACGGTTTTGTCCCATAAAGAGTGTGCAGAACCCTTGTAAATTGAGCAGCTCATCTGGACCTTCACTGAGACCCACTTGCTCCGACTGCTGTGTGTGTCTTTGGTGCGTCTCATGTGCATGACGGTTTGTTTGCTATAAGAACTGGTCTGGCTATCAAGAGGGAGCCTTTGTCTGCTGAAGGGGCAGCAGGTAAAGGAAGCCTGCTGGGTACCCTCACATTTGCTGTGTAGAGGTCTCTGCTTGTCACATGCGTCCCTCCACACCCTTTATAATTCTGCCTTCTTTCCAGCTATTTATTGTTCATTCCCGGATGAATTACCCTTGAATTACCTCTCTGCTTGTCACTGTTGTGGTTTCTTCAAGCTCCCAGTGGTGTGGTAAACAGAGTAAACCAGTGTGGGCCCTTTAAAGGGCCTGCCTTTCTGTTCAAAGAGAATTATTTTTAGAAAGCTGCTATAGAATTTAACTTTCTTCAATCAGCAGGATCTATGTGAAGCCATATGTTGGTGTGATTTCCCCAGGTAAAGCCTTAGGAATCTTCTTTCAGGCTCCTGGAGCGGGTGCGCAATACATCTCCTGCCCCCGCCTACAGGGGAGCAGAGCCCCTGTGATGGGCTGAGTGTAGGGCTTTCCAGCGGCCTTGGGTCTTGAGGCTCCAGCCTCAGCCAGGAAGGGCCGAAAGGAGGTGACAGTGACCTCTGCTAGCAGCCAAGCTGGGAATGCGAGTGCTCTGTTTAATCAATACCGTATCTGGATTGTTGGTTGTAAAAGGCTTAGAAAGTAATTCAACAGAGTACTCAGCTCTGAAATAACACCGAGTGTCATTTCACCTCTCTTTGATTCAGAAGGTCCTTTAGAATCCTTGCATCCTTGGAGAGCTAGTTAATAGAGATTCTGGGTCTAGAATGGCTGGTACAGAAGCCTTTGTTTTAGTTAGGAAGGGAGATTGTGGAGCCGGGAGAGGGGTGAGAGCGCCAAGCAAGGGGGTCTTTGTAGTCGGGGTGTCAGTGCCCAGCTGTCTGCCTCTGACCCTTGTCCCCCAGTCTTCCCTGGTTCTGGGGTCTACGCTGGGTCCAGGTAGGGCCTCCTCTTCCTGTTTTGTCCCCCACCCATTAGCACCCAGTTCTGTAATACACTTTGAAGAAGTGAAGTGAAAGCCTGTCAGTTGTATCAGGCTCTTTGTGAAACTATAGACTGCAGCCCACCAGGCTCCTCTGTCCATGGGATTCTCCAGGCAAGAATACTGGAGTGGGATGCCGTTTCCTCCTCCAGGGGATCTTCCTGACCCAGAGATTGGACCTGGGTCTCCTGGATGGCAGGCAGATTATTTACTGTCTAAGCACTTTGAGGCACTTAATAAATCAGAGGGCTAGTGATTTCCGGAGAAGGAAATGGCAACCCACTCCAGTGTTCTTGCCTGGAGAATCCCATGGACAGAGGGGCTGGTGGCTTACAGTCCATAGGGTCACAAAGAATTGGACACGACTTCACACACACAATGATTGCCAGCAAAAAATCACCCAGGATTTTCCTTCTCCTTCCGGGGAAGGAGCTTGGTCCGCCCATCCCCTAGTCTCAGTTGGCCTGGATGAATCTCTCAGTCCGAAACGGGTTGAGAGAGCACGTCCAAGCCCTCGGCATCTCCCGTCCTGCCGGCCTGGAGGCGTGGTTGGTGCCACTGGACTCCGCCGTCCTGGCTCGTGGCCTGCTTCAGTGCCCACTCCCATCCTGGGCTCCCAGGCCCACCCTTTAGAGAGCAGGAGACAGCATCACAGTTCCCTCTTCTGAGGAGCTTTCTCACCCTTGACAAGCCTGGAGGACAAGTAGACCTGACCTCCATGGCCTCCTGTCTGTCGGCCCTGATTAAATATTCACTCTGTAGAGCGTCATGCCAGGAATCGTGAAAAATCATCGAAGAAGGACGTGATGCACTCCTGGCCTTTCAGTGTCTTATCAGCTTACAGGGGAGACAGAACCAGCACAATGAAAAATATGTGGAAGTGCAAATGTCAGCCAGATGTTTACCTACCATTCCTTATTTATAGATCCGATTAACATAGCCTGGGAGCACCTGTTTATAAACACATAGAGCTATATGTGCAATGTGTGTTTATATACAAATAGACCTATATGTACGTGTGTTTATATATACACAGATCTATATGTATGTACATAGATCTATATATACACATAGGTCTATATGTATATGTTTATATATACACATATCTTTATGTACATGTTTATATATACATAGGTTTATAATTACACATGTTTATATATACAGAGATCTATATGTACATAGAATTGAAGCATTTGCTGAAGTGACTAGAACTGGAAAAATGAGGTTTCCTACCAAGTTTTAGTTTCCCAGGAGTGTCCCTAAGAAAAGGATTTGAGAGCTAGTAGTTGGTTGGGGCCGCATTGGAAATACCAGCGGGAGGGCAGGGAAGGACAGCAGTCAGCAGCGGGACATTGCTGGGCTGGGTAGGCGCAGGCTCTGGGGAGCAGCTGAGAATCATGCACCTCAAACCACCCTGGGCCCCGTCGGTCACTGGTTGGTGATGCCCATCTGGACACCTAGAAATTCCTGGACTGCTGTGCCCAAACGATTTTTGGAGAAAACCCTCCTGCAAAGAGACACAACTAAGTTAGTTCATTAGCTAAGTTGGAGGTTGGCCTGGGGAGAGGCCTGAGGGATGAGGCATTGTTACAGGTACTGATGGGCGCGGTGGCCTGGAAAGGGGAGAGAAGGGGATGTTGAGGAGCCTGCCGATGGAGCCCGGAGTTGACGAGGTGACACTGAAGCTAGGACTCTCTCTCTGCAGGTTTCTCAAGGGTGTGTGGGGCCCAGCCACTGGCAGAAGGGGTCCAGCTTCCTGACTGAAGCAGCCAAAGGGTGAGAGGCAGCTTGAGGATTTGGGGTGGTGGCTGCTCCATCAGGACTCACTGGCCACTTTGGGGCTGGTGGGTGGGTTGGGCATACATGGATCATAGGATCCCCACTGCATCTGCAGCATGAAGCCCTGGTTCATCCACAGGCACCGTCGCAGAAGGACCAGGGATGTGGCTTGGGGATGGACCAACGTGTCCTCCTTGCATCTCAGCTTGGTGGGAAGGCGGGGTGGTCAGTGAGTGTTGGGCACTTGGCCTGGGTGTCCTGTGTCTATAAAGGATGAGACTGAGCGCTGGGGGAGTGGGCCAGGGTGGTTGTGGTCGTGCCTCTGACGTAGCTCCGCTGTAGAACAGTTTCCTCTGATACCATGTTGTCTATATGCGCCCTCCCTGGAGAGTTGGCAGATCGGCAGTGAGGACTGTCCAGGGTCAGGGCACCACAGAGTGACCTGAACTGAAGGGGGTGACACTGAAGCCAGGACTCTGGTCCCTGGACAGGGTCGCTGTGCCCCAGGCTCCAGCTCACACCCCTGCAGGAGCCCCCAGTGTGATCTCCACCCATGAAGGGGGGCTTGGTTACTTGCTAGTCTGTCAAATTATATGATTTCATGCACTCGGCTTATTTTTCTACCCTGTATTTAGATGCTAGGCAGAGATGATCTAGCATTGAAATGTCAAGATATGTAGATAATTTATTGATAGTTTTTATGTGGGGAAAAAGTAGACATGTCCGTACATCCTCATGTGTGGGGTGGCATAGTTTGTCCCTGGAAGAGGGAGAGGGAAGGGTGTCTCAGGCTGGGTTGGGTTAGGAGACGGAAACTGCAAGGTTACTTTAGCAGGAAGAATTAGTAGAAAGACTTGTGCAGGAGAAAAGCATTTTTCCCCCAACCCACAGAGGGTCCCAGGCTGGGTCTGAACGTTAAAGTGACAAAAACAGATTAACAAGGAAAAGGCATGCACATTTATGTAATGTATGTTTCATGTGGCATGGAGCCTTCATAAGGAAATAAAGACCCAGACCAACAGAACTGCATATTTCTGTGCTTGATGTGGTGTTTAGAAAATCACATAATGTTAGTACTAACGGACATTTCCCCCTTAAGGGAACTATCATGTATTGAGAACAGGCATGCCGGGTAGCATGCTAAGAACGTTGCCGGGAGTGTCTCATCTGACCTTCCTCAGAACTGTATGAGGAGCTGCTCGACTCCCCATTTGACAGAAGCTGCAACTTAGGCACAGAGAGGTTAAGTAACTGGCCTGCAGATGCACAGCCTGTGAGGACAGAAGGTGTTCACCCCTGATGTTTTTATTTGGGGAGGGTGGCAGGGAATTTGAAGCAGAGGAAGAGACATCTTGATAATCTGTATCTGAAGTCTTCATGGAGCCAAGGAATTATTCGTGAACTCACAAGATTATTTTATTTCACATCCATTTCTATTACATCATGTGCCAGATTCTGATCTAAGAATCTAACAAGTATTTAACCCCATTCATCCTCCAAATAGGCCCATAAGGTAGGTGTCCTACACCCTCATTCTCAACACACTCCTCATTTATGTACCTTCCACATGTTATGAAATCTTGGTGAGTCCTGCAGGAGTGGGGAGGAGGACATAGGAAAGAGACTATAAGGAGAGCAGAGAAACTAATAGCTGCAGGGTCTATGATCTCAGGCTCGATGTTCTGTGTGTATTTTTTAACTGAAGGCACAGCCCTCAGTTAGAGGGTGGAGCCCTGTGTGTGGATGTGGAGACAAGCTACAGAAGTTTAATAACCAGCCAAACATCACACAGCTAATTCAGAGTGAGGGCTGGGCTTCTAACCCAGGCCAGATCTCAAATCCCAAACTTTTTCCGCTGCATCTTGATGGCAATCAGTAGGGAAGATAACATTTTTGCATGTTTAATATAGGATAAAAGTGACAGATAATACACTGTCCTCAGGGTTAAGAGAAGGAAGGGATACTCCAGCCAGGGGGGTTGTAGAGTCTTCCTTGAAGAGGCAGCATTTAAATGGAGCTTGGAAGTCGGTGGGATGTGGCAGGTGGGTTTGGGGGCAGCGGAGTCCTGGAGGAGGGAGGGGCACAAGCAAAGATGCTGGCGGGGTGAGGCCAAGGGGTGGGGGATCTGTCTGGGTAGGAAGCAGTGTTTTACCAGACATGCTGCTTACAGTTGCCAAGGAGTGCATGGTCATAGTGAAAACGAGACTGGTTCTTAGTTTTATTAGTACTTTTTCTGCAGACACCATGCCCTCCTTATTACGTGTGCCCACTCCCGCCAGCCTCCACCCCCTGACAACTTGGCTCGTGTGGCTGTGTCTCAGGAATGCCTCCCCCCCCCCCCCCCTTTTTGGAAGCTCTGCAAGTCCCGATGGTTCTCAGCCCAGTTCTTCCTCATAGCTGTGTACCCAGTGTTCTGGGGAGACAGGTGCTGAGCAGGACAGAGGGGTGGCCCTAGGCGCTGGGGAAGGAGGGGGAGACGTGGAGCCAGGCGTCCGTCTCACTCCAGGGCCGGACTCTGCTGCCCAGACAGCGAGCCTGCCTGTGACAGACATGTCCTTCCGGAGGCCGAGGCTGCTTTGCGGGAACCAAAGTGAGGACACAGGCCTGGGGGACGCTCTTAGAGACTTGGCACCTGGTGGGGAGTGGAGATTTGGCAGCTGACTGAACGCGCTAAAGAGAAGATGCCCCTCCTGCCCTCTACCCCATCCTCTCCCAAACTGCTCCTCTGGGGCCGAGGAAGAGGGCGCCCACCTGCTAATCTGCGCTGCGTTTTGCTCTCTGTTATGTAGTATCTCAGTGGCAGGACCCGCTCGGGAGAGTTGGGGTGAGGCTGGCTGAGTCTTCCAGGAGCTTGGACCCAGGCGCCTGCCTGGCGGTGGAATGATGCTTCCTGACCTCTCAGACCTCTGGGCGCACTTAGGAAGCACTTCACGCCTCCTGTCGGCGCACGGCTGCCCAGGGGACCCTCGGGGACAGGGGGCAGGTAGAGTATCCTTTCCGAGTTTCTTGTCTCCTGTCCCCCCCGCCCCCTTCGTGTCCGTGTGTCTGTGTGGCTGTATTGTCTCCTCCTCAAGGTTCCACAGACCAGTGACGCGGGGGAATTGACTCATGTTCTTGTCAACAGAGATCGCGGCCTGTGAGGTGACGGGTACCCTGATGCACTCACGACAGTGTCGCAAAGATGCCACGCCGCTGGCTGCTCCCAAGAACGAAGCCACCCTCCCAGAGAGGTGGCAGGAAGCGGGGCTGGAGGAGGTGAGGAAAGGCGCTCTTCCTCTGCCCTCGACTCAATCGGGTTTAGCTGTCAGATGGTTCCGGCCTTGGCCTGACGGGTCTTTTCCTGTGTGTCCTTCCACAGGCTCGACTTTTTAGCCCGAGGATGCCCTGCCTTCGATGGGGAGCAAGCCGGTCCCCAGGGCAAAGCAGAGCAGCTGGAACCAGGAAGCGCCCGCCCGGAGCCGGATGCAGAGCCTGCAGCCTGCAGCTCGGAGCGCCCTGAGCCACGGCTCCTGATTGGACGGTCTTGGCTTTGCCATCACCCTATTGGTCCTATGTGATTTTGAATGATGGGCTGGTTGGCTGGTCTTTTTTTTTTTTTTTTTTCGTCTGTCTTTCCTTCTTTTTTCTTGGCCTTGGGGATTGTGTAAGAAAAGAATTGCTTTGGAAATATAATTCTGTGGTTGAAATTAACCTTGTTTATGAATGAATTATGTCCCTAGGGGTTTCTGAATTGTCATCTGGGTTACCTTATAGTAAATGGGTCTGCATGGTTTGATGCGTGTATTCCTGATCTTTAGATTAAAAATGCATTTTCTCCCTTCCTCGTTTTCACGTCTGGATCCAGGTAATGGGCCGAGTCCCACTTGCCTCGTTACTGAAGCGATCTCAGTGCGGCATCACTTGGAATTGAAATATAATCAAACATATTATACCTGGGGCCCTTGCATGCTCTTTGGGGTTTATGCTACCCCACAAAGAAATACAAACCTTGTAGGTGGAAATGTAATTCCTGTTTGATCCTGCAGCTAGAATGGTGGAGAAAATATAAATATCGAAAGTGGCTTCAAATACTTCAGATGTAAGCTAACCAAGAGTAAGTGGCTGATTCTTTAAGGCAGAGCAGGGACTGGAGACGACTCCACACACCCTGCCCGTTGACCCTGCTCCATCTGGAGGAAGCGGAGAAGGAGGCCCGCTTCTGTGTTTGCGTTTGCGGAGACTGTGATGTTTCTGACTCATGTTCTGTAACTGTGCCCACCTCGCAATAAAACACCTTCGTTGACTCAGCAACAAGGTCTCTGTCCATTTCCTGCAGTCCTGTGTCCTCATTGGCTTTGTGAGAAGGTCCGGGGTAAATGTGGAGTGGCCGCCCTGCCTGGGATCTCAGCTGGATGCAATGTTCTCGCTTATCCAGGATTGTCTGCTGATGGGGCCTCACACATTGGACACACGCTGGGCTGGGGCTGCCCCCAGTACATGGTGGAGATTTCATCTCTCTCTTTTTGTTTTATTGGTGGATTATTGCTTTACAATGTTGTGTGTGTTTCTGCTGTATAACAGAGCGAATTGGCCATGTTTATATATACATACATCCCCTCCTTGAGCTCCCTCCTGCCATCTCACCCCTCTAGATCATCACAGAGCACTGCGTTTTAGCTGTCTACTTTACACATGGGGGTGTGGATGGTCAGTTCATCTCAGTTAATCCTTTCTCGGCTCCTCCCACCTTCCTCTTCCTCTCCACTCCCCACCCTGTGTCCTGTCTGTTCTCTACATCTGTGTCTCTATTCCTGCCTTGGAAATCATTGGTACTGTTTTTCTAGATTCCACACATATGCGCTAATATACGATGTTTATTTTTCTCTTTCTGACTTAATTCACTCTGTATGATAGTCCGTAGGTCTATTCGACTCACTACAGGTGACCCTATTTCTTTCCTTTTAGTGGCTAAGATCCTTTTTGACCCCGTCCCTAGAGTAATGAAAATAAAAACAAAAATAAGCCAATGGGACCTAATTAAACTTAAAAGCTTTTGCACAGCAAAGGAAACCATAAACAAGATGATTTTATTTCTTCATAAAGAATTGAAAGAACATTTGAATTCCTTAGAGCTGGTCTTGGCTGAGAGCACCAAGTAGCCTCTGAGGGTCTTCTTTGGCCTTCTTGTTGAAAGCCTTTAGAGGCGGAGGTGGAGATTCGTGGGCAGAAATCAGGGAGGAGACTGTGGCCCCTGCCTTGACCATGTATGCAGACACCTGGGTCCCTCCTGCCGGACAGGGCAGGGCTGTACCTCCCCAGAGGGCAACACCACTGCCTTTACATGAAGTGAAGTTGACATGCATTCATGTGTGTGAAATGCCTTTTCACCAGCAGGCCCAGGCCATCCCAGAGCCGGCCAGTCCCTCTAACTGTGATGCGCAGAGGTCTCACTCACCGTGGGTAAGAATTCGCCCAAACCGCATCAGACTGGATCTGCCACTTTAGTGGAAAGTACTTTCAAGAAAACCCCAGTGCTCTCCACCTCCACTCCTGAGATTTCAAATGTGATGCACGGATCACAGATAAGATAACTTGTTCCATGTGGGGCGGCAGATGGAGTTTGCTCTGATTGCCGTGGCGTGCATTATAGTCCCTCTGGTATTACCCTGGACTGCAAGCCCCGCAGAGTAGAAGGAGCGTTGCCTACTTGCTTCCTGGAAGTCATTAAAGTGACAATACTAACACAGGAGCAGGTCACAGTTACTAAGTCCTTACCACATGCTGAGCACTGGACCTAGCACTTGACAAGCGCTGGCTCACTTAATCATCACAAACCCCACATGAGGTAGGGCCTGTCATCTCCCGTCACTTGGATGAGGAACTGAGGCTTGAGCGGCTGGGTCCCTGGGCCGGGCCCCCTGCAGGTAGGATACATGGGGCTTGCCCAACCCCAAAGCCCAGGGTCTTCACCACTGTTCTCGGCAGCTCCCTCTCCTGGGTCCCAGCACCCATCTGCTTCACTGGCTTTTGACTTCAAACCTCCTCTTGGGAACTGCCGTGTCCTTCCTTATAACTTGGAACCTCCTGATTGCTTCCCAGTATTATTGTCTAAGCTTGACAAATGTTTGCCAACCAACTGCAAGTCGATATGAAACGTTAAAGTCTTATTTTAAAAATTACTCTTTTTAAGTTAAAAAATACACACTTCTGAGTGGAGTCCAGGTCAGCCCACCTTGTGCTGAATTTGAGCTCTTTTTAGCCTTCTGAAGTTCCAGAACCCTGCACCCACAGGAGGGCCTCACAGATGGGAGTGTTGGGCCCAGGAACTGTGTCAAGGGTCAGAGTCAGTGAACGGACACCCACCAAGGGCAGCAACAGTGTTAGATTCTTCAGCAAAATGATGCTGACTCTAACCTTCATTCCTGAAGTCTGTATCAAATGGACAGCATCAAGTCAGGTGGAAGGCATCTGTTCCTGGTTACCTCCAACTGCTTATCCAGGAGGTGGTGGTATTGTCTGTTTGTTTGAAGGACCACTGGCATGGAAAGCAGTTTATATATTTGTAGGCAGATTTTAGCGGATGCAGTTGGCACCTTGCCCCTGTTTCTGAGGGCTTTTTTGGACAGAGGAGGCTGTGTGCATCCCAGGTCAGAGGTTCAGGGGTCTTATTCCCTCCCAACTTAGTCCAGCCCTCAACCAGGAGGAGTGTCAGTGTTTAAATGCCCCGGCTCCCTCACCTTTTGGATGGATGGACTGAGGTATGTTCTAAGCTGATCTGAGGTCCTCAATGAGGTGACAGTCTGTCTGGTGGCCCACAGTGGGAACTAGTTTTCGAACCCACTTTTAAAAAATTTAATTGCAGGATAATTGTTTTACAATGCTGTGTTAGTTTCTGCTACACAACAAAGTGAATCAGCCCTATGTATACACATAATCCTCCCTCCCTTCCCTCCCCTCCCCTCCCCTCCCCTCCCCTCCCCTCCCCTCCCCTCCCCTCTAGGTCATCACAGAGGCCACATGAGCTCCCTGTGTTGCACACAGGTTCCCACGAGCCGTCTGACACGTGGTGGTGTGCACACGTCCATGCCACCCTCTCGGTCTGGGTCTGTCCCAGACTCTCCTCTCCCTGCCGTGTCCGCATGGCCACTGTCTGTGTCCGCGTCCTCTGTTCCCCTGCTGGCTGCCTTGTGTCCCGCCGCCCATCTCAGCCAGTGTTTCCTGGGACTGCCTCCCCAGTAAGTAGCTAATTTGTGCGCAAGTACAAATTCCTCTGCAAGGTGAGGCACGGAAACCCTATCAATGGGAGACACTTGCCAGAAGACGATTTCCTTCCTGTAAAAGGGGCCCTGCCACAGGCTACAAGATACTTTTCCTTTCAGTGCAAGACTCAACCAACATAGGAGACCAGGCCAGAGTCACCTGATGGCAAATAAAATTGCAATTCACCGGCTAGAACGAGCAATTAAATATAAGGGAGTGATGGGAAAAGGAACAGGTCACCACCCGCAGGTTCCCCCCACTGCCCGCCCCATCACCCCTCACCACTCCTGTTTGCCCTTGAGTCCCTTCTGCTTCCATTAACACTGACGGAGCCTGCCCAGAGTGCCTGGCTCTTGTCAAATCCCATTACAACGGCCTCCAAGACACACCATCCACAGCCTTTGTTGTACTGGTAACCTTTTTGTGGGAATATTGAACATTGTATGGAGTGGCTAATGCATTGATCAGGCCTGTTAGACAAGAGGTCTGCTTTCTTCTGGCCCTGCAGTTTTGTAAATGGGGTTTCATCTCTGCCTTTATTGTGATCAACTCAAACCAATTCTCTAAGTTCAAGTTACAAAGCTCTAAAAAGCATGTCAGGCTGACCCAGGACTACTTGTCAGGATAAACATAGAAAATATAGACCTATACAGTGAGAGAACGTGCTGGAATCTCTGTTAGAGGCATCTCACACTGCCTTTGTTTAGTTGTCGATGGGGCAGAGGACACACAGAAACCCACATTTCCTCGCAGAGGCCCCCAGCCTTTTAGGCACCGGGGACTAGTGTCATGGAAGACAATTTTTTATGGGGATGGGTGGGGGTGGTATTGGGGTGATTCAATTGCATGACATTGATCGTGCACTTTATTTCTATTATTCTTGCATCAGCCCCACCTCAGATCATCAGGCACTAGACCCCAGAGTTTGGGGGCCCCTGCTGTGTGGGGTTCCCAGTGAAGACTGGGTGGATGTTGTATCAGAGATGTAAACGTAATTATGACTGCACCAGAGTCTGCCTTGTCACTTCTTGCTCTCTGCTGAGGGCTGGGAGAGTGGGGCTGTTTTATATGCTTCTTGGTTTTCAATGTATGATTAAGGTCAGGGCTTCCTTCATGATCAGTGACTGTTCCATCTTTACTCAGAATAACTGAAGGAGATAATGGAAAATAATTAGTTTATAGATTTCCTACTGAATCTGAGTTTAAGCCAACACAACCCTGTGCTTTTTGCAGGGAGGAAGGAAAATTCAAAGTGAGATC